CCGTGGGAGAGCACCCTGTACTGGCACCAAAGCTCACGGCCAGAGCCCCGGTCCTCCTGCGGCTGAGACTCCAGACGTGGGGGACGGGCTGCCAGCCCTGAGCTTCAGGGCGTCCCCTGGGGCGGCCGCTCACGGGGGTCCCTGCCCTCCTCACTGCCGCGGAGCCTCAGGACAGACCCTGTCCTCGTGCGGAAGCGCAGCAGGATTTTGCCAGATCGAGGAGTCCCGTTGCACGTCAGTACAACACACGAGCGAACCATGGACCTCATCCAGCCACTGTCTCAGCAACATCCTTTCTGGACCAGGGTCTGATGGGAAACCATGCCTTGTGCTCAGGGGCTGTGTCTTTAATCCCCTTTAATATAGAATAGCCCCTTGGCCTGTCTTGGGCTTTCATGATCTGGGCACCTTGTGAGCACAGGGCAGCTGCTTCTAGAACATCCCTCAATTTCGGCGACAAAGGGATACGTGGAGGGTCCGCTTTCTGGGCAGGGGTGCCGTGTCCTCAGTGCATATACAGCAGGAGGCCCACGATGGCCCCCGTCTTGGGGGTGCTCACTCTGGCGTCTGCCCGTTTCCCCAATATAACGTGACTCTCGGGGGCCTGTGACTCGCCAAACTTCAGCCATGAGTAGCAGCGTCAGAGGCCGAGTCGGCTACAGGGGAAGCAGCAGCGGATCCACGAATGGGGCGCCAACAGGTGGATGGATGGGGGAGGAGGGCACCGGGCGCAGCTGGTGGCACAGGACAGAAACAGAGAAAATGATCGATGCCCTGATTTTACTGGAACCAATTTTCTTCCACTTTGTGGAGACGGGTCTCGGCTGCCTCTGCCTCCGCGGAATCACGTCAGACTTTAATGGCCTTGGCGCTCAGGACACCGCCGGGTCCATGCGCCCACAGACACGAGCCGCCCCTGCACGAGCCCCGCCCAGGGCCAGCCCCCTGCTGCAGCCGGGCCCGAGACCAGCGAGGAGCGCTGCTGCCGGCGGCACTGAACGTGGAGGCAGATGGGGAGGCCGCACTCCCGGGCCCCCCCGCCCCACCCCGCGCAGCTGCTGTTGGGGCCACGGGGCCTGGAAGACGGCAACCACGAAGTGACGACCGAGAGCTCAGCCGCGCCGACGCAGGCCTGGTGGGCTCCTGCCGGTGATGCCAGGAGAGGCTGCCTTAGGGCGGCCTCGCTGGGTGGGGGTGCAGATGCCCTGTGGTCACTAATTCACCCTTCCCGGGGTGCGGCCACGTGCAAAGGGGCCGCTGTGACCTGGGAGCCTCCTGGGGGTCCTCTGTCGGCCCTCACAGAGCATTGTGCTCCCAGGAGGAGGACATCTACCCCTCGGCTGAGCCTCACGAGGACCGGATTTATGCAGCGGGGGGGATAACGCTGCCCCAAGAACACTTGCTGGTGACTGCACGAGGCCACCACTGGGCACTCATCACCACTGGGCGCTAACCACCACTGGGCACTAACCACTACGGGGCTCTAAGCTCCACTGGGCAGTATTAAGCATAAATTCTGGACCAGGGCGCTGGGCGCTCTGCCTGCAGGTGCCCATCAGCATCGACGGCTGGAGGTGACCCTATTCCTGGGGCGTCTCTGGCTGTGGCCCAAGGTCTGGACTCTGAGCTCACGTGCCCACCCACTGCAGGTGTGGCCCGCCAGATCCTGCCCCCCCCCCAGAGGCACAGATGACTCTGTACTTTGGAGGGAAAGGATCCCCTTCTAGTAACTGAGCTCTGGAGACAGCCAGTGACGGGGACAGGAGGGCGTGAGCGACCACAGTCGAGCACACGCTCAGCCCCCAGGCCTCTGCCACTAAGGCCTCCTCGGGTCGCTGCCCTCCCGGCCAGCTGCCCGGTCAGTGCCCAGTACACTCTCACAGGATGGATGGACACGGGCCCCACCGGACCCGCAGCTGCGACACAGAGCCTGTGATGGCAGGACCTCATCACGCTGAGGTCAGAGCACGAGGCCAGGCCTGAAACGCAGTGGACCAGACACGACCAGGGTCAGCCCACCTGTGTGGGGACCACTGCCTGCCCTGGGAGATGCCTGAGTGAGCAGGGACAGCGCTTCCCAACAGGGAGACCCCACAATCCCTGGCACGTGCTGTCTTCCACTCCAGAAGTCGGCCCTGGGCCCAGCAGCCTGTTTAGCAGGATTGAATCCAGTTCCCTCTGGGGTCCAGGGAGGGGCCGGACCGTCCTCGGGCAACGTGGCAGGCCCTGAGGCCTCCTCCTCCCAGACTCCCCCATTGACCTGAGGCCCAGGGTCTGGGGCCTTCGCTGGCCTGCAAGGCCCTGTCCTCGCCGTAAGCTCCTCTTGCCCCCTGTCCACCCCCAGCCCCCGGCTACACGCCCAGAAAACGCCCAGCTGTGGCCAGCAATGACAATTCCAAGCGGCTCAGAAATCTAATCACTGAACCACCTCGTTTCTAAACACGACTTCTGTTTGCAAGTGTCCAGGACGGAAGCTCACAGGTGTGGAGGGCTGACAGGCCTTGTGGGATACAGTTGGGCTGGGAGGGGCCCCCGTTTTGGAAAGTAGGGTCATTTGATTGGCCAACATCGCCACACGTCCAAACGTGGTCCATGAGAGGCAGATGCACGGAGGCAGGCACCCAGCCCCTCTTTGGACAGATGTCACGGTTTAAAAACTGTGGACGTTGGCCCAGATCTGCCAGGTGGCCCAGAAGCCCGTGTGGGGAACGTAAAATCCCCCGGGGAAACCTCTCCCGGGATGGCGGATGGCGGTGCAGAAGAGACGCAGCGGGGAGCAGCGCCAGGGCTGAGCTCCCCCGTGAGGAATGTTCTTTCAGGTACAGGAAGCAGCCCGCGTGCAGGAGCCCAAAGAGCCTCGCGGGAGCCGTCAGCATCAGAGGGAAGGGCACCTTTTCAACGGGCCCGTCAGTCTCTCCCAAGCACATGGCCAAGGCCTTTAAAAAAAAAAGGAAACTCTGATCTCTGAGGGCGCCAGGAGGCCAGCAAGTATTGAGTAAACTCTCGGCAGTGCTACAGCTGTGGGCACAAGAGCGGTCCTTCCGCAGCGCGTGCTCAACAGACACCTGTCTAGTGGACGAATGAGCAGGACATGCCCCGGCCCACATCAGCATCACAGCCTCTGACCAAAAGGATTCCTGGGAGTGGCCCTTTGGGAGGCGAGGCCATGTCACTGAGGTGTCTGGTTCCATGACCAAGAGAGAGTGAGGGTGCTTTAGGGGGAGGCCGTGCTCCCTCTGCTGCTGTTGTTTTTTCTGGATGATCCGAATGCCGGCTGCTCCTGGCTGAGCCACAGGGGCCAGAGCGGGCAGGGGTCTGAAGGGAGCATCCCCTTGGAGGGCAGTGGGCACTGCTGACCCCGAGCTGCTGACCTGAGCCTGACACGTCCATAGGCAGGTGTCATGGCTGCTGTCCCCCAACCCCCCAACCCTGGGCACAGCCCATCGAGACCTCAAAGGAAGCCGGAAGGTCATTCCCACTGTTCACTGTATACGCCCTGCTTGCCACTGTTTCTGGCACAGGAGAGGCATCAGTAGAGAGGCAGCAGCCTCTGACTCATCCCCCCGCCACACGTGGCTTCCGGGGCCGCTCCATGCAGGGACACCCGGAGCCACACGTCTTCCGCACAGGCGACGGGGGACCCGAAGCTTAATTCTGCCCACCGGCTCCATCTTGGTGGTGGCTTGTGGAGGGTCAGCCGCAGCCCAGGGATGGACATGCAGACGGCATCTCTTGCCCCCCAGCACGCCAGCTCTCCTACCCTGCCACACCCGTCATACTCAGAGGCAACAACATCAATTCTGCTGGGAAGCTGCGGATGGCTCAGGCGTGAAACGACAGCCAGACGGGACAGCCCAGAGCGCCCACCCCACCTCCACTCAGCCCAGCTCCTCCTTTCCCATCCCACCCTGAGATGGAGGACGCCCCCCCACCCGCCTTCATGGCTACCCACATTCTCAGGCCACGATGCCGTTGAAAGCGGTGTCTCTGCCAGGACTTGCTCCCATGGACGCCCTCCTCCTTCCATTTCAGGGCCCTGCCTGGAATGTCCCTGCCTGAGAAGCCTCTCCCCAGGGTCGGAATACCCCTTCCTGGCCAGGCCGCCTCGTCCAAGCCAATTCCCCGGGGAGGGCTGGCCCCTGGGTTCCCGCGCACTTCGCCCAGACCCTCAGAGGACCATTGGTCACCCGGCTCCAGTGTTACCCACCTTACGTGGGCCCCCCGCCTGCCACCACACCTAGTACCTTAGGATTTTCCAATAGAAACAGCGTCGACACCACCACCACCAGTAAGAGTGCTTCCGAGAGCTTCTACACGCCAGGAGCCAAACAAGCACTTCCCACACCTTCTCCCTTGAATTTCCACCTTCAGAGGTGGGGGCTGTGATTGCCCCATTTCACAGATGGGAAAACTGAGGCTAAATTAAGGAACTGGCCCAAGACAGCATCAGGCCAGGAGGCACAGGGGTAGCAGTCCTGGCGGGGGCGGTTCTGCTACAGAGGAGACGGACCACAGGGCCTTTTGAGAAGCTGATGGAAGGGACTCTCTCCCGAAAGAGGCCGGCACCAGCACACACACGTTTACCCTACATCTCAGGGAATATGGAGACATTTGAGGCCCATCCACGGACGCCCCTCCCCTAGAGAGGTCACTGATCTAGGGTTCCAGCCCCCTTTGATGGAAGGAGGGGATGAGATAAGGGGGGCTGAGACCTGGCAGCCCTGGAGCGAAAGGTGGGAAGAAGTGGGGGTCAGGCTGCTCTCAAGCCCCACCCCTCCTGCCGCACCCCCCACCCCTTCCCAGCTTCCCAGGAGTAAACTTCCTTTGGGACACTTCTCCAACTTCCTGTACCCAGAGGGTACACAGACCAGAAATTACTGTTGGGGTGAGGGAAAGAGACACGCTGTGGCTTCCCTGAGGGTGTGCCTTGGACCCTTGCCCCCAGGGGAGACCCTGGCCTGGTGCCCTCCGACTCCTGCTCCCCTGAAGAGGCTGCTCACCTGGATGACGATCTTGACCTTGGCGGTGCCCACGATGGGCGTGCACACCAGGCCACCGGGGTGCTGGCCGTCGGCGCTGCGGTTCTGCTGGCCCATGGTGAAGAGCATGGGCACGGCCAGCAGGCCAGAGGCCAGCCAGATAGCACTGATGAACTTCTTGGTGCGGCTGCGGGACATGAGGGTCTTGGCTTTGAAGGGGTGGCAGATGGCCAGGTAGCGTTCCACACTCAGGCTGGCCACGTTGAGGGCCGTGGCATAGGTGCAGGCGTCGCGCAGGAAGTAGTAGCCGCGGCACACAGCATCGCCGAAGGCCCAGGGGTGGTGCACCCAGATGAAGTTGTACAGCTCCACGGGCATGGCCAGCAGGAGGATGAGCAGGTCAGACAGCGCCAGGCTGCCCAGGTGGTAGTGCACCGTGCTCTGCAGGTTCTGCAGGGACTTCTTGCGCGCCAGCGTGAACGCCGTCACAGAGTTGCCCACCGTGCCCACCACAAAGAGCGCCAGGTACACGATGGTCACCAGCACCTTGGAGTAAATGTCAGTGTTCACGTCCAGGTCGCTGCTGGGCGCCGCTGGGACGGTCTCTGACAGGTTGCCGGAGCCGTTGCCGAAGCCCGGGGCCAGGAGCGCCGCCTCCAGCCCCGATGGCGGTAGCAAGAAGGGGTCTCCAGCCTGGGAGACCCGTGGGCCGGGCGCCGAGCTGTTGAGGTGCATGTCCCGCGCGCCGGGCGGGGTGGGCGCGTCTCAGGCAGGGACAGAGCAGAGGGAGCCCGAGGGGTGGGCGTGAAAGGCGGAGGGGGCGCGCCGTCCAGCAGGGAAGCGCCGACCCCTGGTCCGTGCCAGCCTAGAGCGCTCGGGGCTTGCACTCACCGGGCGCTGCGCGCTTTCCCGGCTTCCTCCGAATACCAGAGCCCACGGTTCCTCGGGCCCCGGGGCGGCAGCGCCGGCTCCAGCTGAGAGCGCCTGGCTGGCTGGGGCTCGGGCTGCGCGGGGCGAGCCTGTGGCGCCGAGCGGAGCGCACGCCTGGCTGTCCGGAGCGCTCTCTCCTCGCTCGCGCTCTCCGCGCACCCCGCTCCGCGCACCTCCTGCCGCGCCAGCACCCTCCCGGGCTCCGCGCCTCCCCTGAGCCGGCGGCAACTGGCGCGCCCAGCCGTGGGGGGCGCTGGAGGGGAGAGGAGGCGGCCCCAGCCACTGTCTCCGCCCCGCAAGGGGGCAGGGCTGGCTGGTCGCCCCCGCGCCCTCGCAGGGCCCATCCGGGCTGGGGGGAGCGCCCCAGGGACCTGGGATTCCCGCGGGGTGCTCAGGGAGTGTCGGCTCTTTCCAGGCACCCTCCTCAGGCAGCTCGGCCTCCGGGCCCAGGTCTTCCCAGCTTCTTATGCCCCACCTCCCCAAGGGAACTGCCCCCGGGTCGTCTCCAGCTCGCTAGGCGGGGGAGAGGAGGTGAGAGGGTGGGGGTCCCAAGGAGGAGGCTTCCTGCTGGGATGGCTGGGCTGCCCCTCCTTCCTGGGGTGCCCACGGGGCGCCAGGAGCTCGGTGCCCAGGGGAGCTCTGGCACACTTAAGTGGCGGGTGGGGGGAGCTGAATGGGGAGCAGAAAGCAGAGAACAAAGCAGCACTGGTCCCCCGAGCGGGCTGGGCTCCTGCTCCTGGCACCCTCTGGGTGGCCTTGTGCCACTGTGGGTGCAGGGGGTACGGTCCAGGACTGTCATCACCACCTAGACGTGGTCATCAGATGTCACGCTCAGGGCCCAGCCGTGGACCTGGCTGGCTGCACCTGGTGGGCTGGGAATCAGAGACTGCAGTGGGTGGAGGGGAGAGAGGTGCTGAGGAAAGGGGGCGAGGCCAGGGAGCCCTGCCCAGACCCCAGGCACGGCCAAGGGAGAAGTTCAGGCTCAGTACTTACTTTTCTGTTCCCAACTGGCTCTGGGCTTGCCTGCTCCACTAAGCCCTGATGTTCTCACCACGGAGTCTTAGCACATAAAATACGTGCTTAAAAATGTAGCCTGCACAGGAAACACAAACGTCCCTTTGCTGGAGGGCAGCACAGTGAGCTCTGAGGCGACAGAAGTGGTTTCAACCTGCTTCTCAATATTTGGGCAAGTGTTTTAGCTTCTCTGTGCCTCGATTTAGTCGTCTGTGAAATGGGCACACAGGTGAATGGATGCTCCTGGGGGCCCAGCTGTTCTCGATGCCGTCAGCCCTGCAAACAGCAGGCGCTCAGTGGACACCTGTGGAGTGAACGCTCTTGTGCGGATCGTGTGGGGACTTCGGAGGGTGAGAGCGACGTGCCCAGGGCAACAAGAGTTGCTTTCAATCCACCAAATTAGCCCAGGTTTGCTCTCTGGAAGACAGGCCACCAGTTCAGCGAGCAGGTCCTGGGATTGGGAGCTGAGTGTCCTTGTCACAGGAGTGATGTGCCAGACTGTGTCGGGCCCATGGAGGCTCATCCCTGCACCCAGGGGAACGCCAGGGTCTCACCATGGACGGTGCCATCCGTTGCCTCTCTCGGGAGCCCCCGAAGGGGAAGGCAGCAGCCCGTGGCCGCTGGGACCTGTCCTTTGCCAGGCAGTAGCTGTCGCCGCTCAGGACGCCTGCAATGGAAGCGCGCTCTGGCTGGGCTGTCGCGCTCTGGCTGGGCTGTCGCGCTCTGGCTGGGCTGCTGAAGCTCATGTTTGGTTTTCACACCCCTGACCTTTCCGCTAAGCTGACTTCTTTTCAAAGCTTTCTTTTCCAGCCAGCCTAGGAGCTTAAAAAGTCATAAAAGGCAACGTAGCACAAATATTATGACAAGGCCTTTGCTTGAAACCACACAGGAAATGTCACCTGGAAGGCTTTGCTGTACCGTGTGGGCGGCAGGCCCTTGTCTGGGGTCCCCGGCCGCTTTGAATCCTTCTCCTGTGAACCGGGGAGCCCGGACGGCCCGGACGGCCCGGCAGCCGGAACCTTCGACTTCAAGCTGTTTTCCCTTTCGCCTGCGATTTCCCCAGGCATGAGAGCTTCTTGAACTGCTGAGACCCTTCAGAGAAATCTTCGGTGGGGTGCTCGGGGAGGGCGGGGCCAGTCCGCTGTGTCCTTCAGTGACCGGATCACACCCTTGACCCCCTGAGCCCTGCGCGGGAGAACCTGGGGCCCTGCTGCCCTGCCCCTGCCACTCCAAACGCTGCGTGTCGGCAAGGGCTAAGATCCGTAAATGAGGGGCCTGTGTTTCTTGGAGAAGCAGGCATGTCACCTGAGGGGGCAGCAGGCACCTGAGTGGCTCTAGATTCCTGGGTTCCCGGCATGCTGTAGGCAGGGTGGGGTCTTGGCTGCCCTGGGCTCAACAGTCTGTTTAGGAAGAACCCCCCCCCCCGCCATGGCGGGGGTCCCGGTTTGTTTGGTTTGCTAACTTCTCCCAGGCCCCTGTGAGGCTACTGTATACACTGGGGGCTCAATGGACTTTTGCTGAGCTAGTGTAAAGGGTAAGACAATGGACAGCGAGATGAGGGCTTTGCTTCCCTGGCTACAAGAATTTAGTCCTTGGAGTCCCAGTGTCAAGGGGCCCCTCCCCCTCAGAAGTGTGTCCTTAAGGCAATGTCCCTCTCTTTCCTCTGGTTCCCACTCCACCGCTGGGCGACTCTTGTTAACAAGAAGGCTTCTTCCTAAATTAAAAAAAAACAAGTTCGCAGCAATACCTGTGTCAGTTATCTGTTTACCTCCTGTTGCATAACAAAGGACCGCAAGCTCAGTGACTTAGTGGCGAACACACATTTTATTGTCATGAATATTATTGCTAGATTTCCCATGAGGCTACAGGTGGGTGGGGAGTAGTGTACGTTTACTTAGAGACACTAAGGATTTGTAATATGTGTAATTTGTAGAGTTTAGCTGTTGATTTCCCACCCACGGCATGGGATTGCACATGTCAGAATGCACAGCGTTCCAAGGAGGGTTTTAAAAATAGAGCAACACGTGTGTAAGTGTTAGCGGGCAGTGGGGGGCGGGGCGTGGACGTCCTTCCAGCCTCGGTTCTCACGTCCTCGTCCCTCTGGCTCCCTGCTCGCGCCTTGGCCCTTGGCCAGCTTTCTGGAAAAGCGAGCTGCGCTAGCAAGGAAGAGCAAGAAGAGGGGGAGGGTGTGGCTGCGGGGAGCGCGTCCTGCTGCCTGGGTGTCCGGCTGCCTAGGAGGTGGCTGGGAGTCCTGGGTCCACCTGCCCTGACCTTGGTAAATAAACTGACCAAGCCTCAGTAGACCCCAAGTCACTAGGTTGCTACGAGCACCATGTGATGGGTGCACAGCTACACACCACGTGGAGGTCACTGCTCTATAAACTCTGGCTTTATCGCCGGTGGGCTCACCCTGTCCGCAGCTGGAGAGGCTGGACGGGGAAGAGGAGGGGCTCAGCTCCTGGGACCCCCCAGCGAGTGTGGGCGTGGGGGTTCATTCCCACGAGTGGTAGTGAGGCCGTGTACCTCAGACTGGGACTTGAACCCCCATGTGGGGACTCGAACCCGGCCAAAACCCACGGTCATTTTTTTTTTTTAACATCTTTATCGGAGTATAATTGCTTTACAATGGTGTGTTAGTTTCTGCTTTATAACAAAGTGAATCAGTTATGCATACACATATGTCCCCATATCTCTTCCCTCTTGCGTCTCCCTCCCTCCCACCCTGCCTATCCCCCCCCTC